ATATAACATTGATTTCAAAAGTCACGCTCTCTGCTGCTCTCCTATTCTCTGGCACGTCTTCGCTTCCAGCATCGGTTCGTTGCGTTTATTCTTTGCCATGTTCAAAAATAAATGTTTCTTTGTTCTCTGTATAGTATCTCGATATTTTTGTTTTGCTTACCGCATCACGGCAATCGCCGACTTTTCCCCTTCGATTTTTCTACTTCATATGCTCCTTGCTGGCGATGTGTTGATCATATAGGCATATAGCGTGTGTGTGTTTGGGGATTTCACGATTTTTCGTGACGTTCAGTTTGCGTTTTCATGTGTTTTTGTTTTTATTTGTTATTGTTGTATTTTGTTTTTCCTTTTGATTTGACTATTTTTGTTGCTGTTATTTTCTTTACACAGTTGTTATGGCCTTTTCTTTTTGATGGTTGTCTTTGGTGTTATCGCGGTTTGTAGGTAATTATTCTTCTGTGTTGTTGTTGTCGATTTAGTTTCATCTTGATGTAGTTGTTATAATACCCTGAACAGGGTGTATTAAGTTTGCCATGAAATCTGTTAGACGCAGAAGGCAACTTCAGAGACTCCCTAAAATAAATATACATATAAATGATCAGCATACCGTGCTGAGTCGATTAAGTCATGTCTTGTGCTTGTCCGTTTTTCTGCATATATATGAACCTACAAGGTGCGTTCCAAAGTAAATAGGATTTAAAAAAAAAAGCAGAACAAAAGGTTTTTTCGGCAAAATCAATTTATTTTATTCTTCTTCTGCTTCAATACAGCTTTTTGCATGGTCCAAAAGCATGTCGAAAGAGTGTTTTAGCTCGTTGGCCGCCAGTATGCGGTGCAAGCCTTTTGAATACCCTCTACGTCTGCATAACGCTTTAACAAACCGTGCACTCACCTTTCGTAAGCCCAACACGATAAATCGATGTTTCGGAGAATCAATTTCAATTTTGAGTGGCCCACATGTTGATCGTCATTTATGTCCTCACGACCACTTTGAAAACGTTGAAACCACTCGTGCACTCTGCTGTGGGATAGGCAATTATCGCCATAAACTTTTTTCATCAATTGATACGTTTCATCAATTGAAGGTTCTAACACAACAGCCTGCATATAGTTGGCGTTTCCAGGATGCGCTAGATTCAGAAAGTTCTGTTTACTTTGGAAAACACCTTTTAGTCCATTAGTTTTTGAGATATGGATCTGTTTTTTTTTTTTTGCATCTGCGCTTTTCTCATAAAGCAGCTATTTATTTGTTGGAAAGACAGATATCGGACCAAAATATCATATAGCTGCCAAACTGAACAAACGGAGAAAAATGTCTATGTATATGGGACAGCTTCCTTATTTGAAAAGATATGTTCATGAAATTTGGCATAAAATATTGTCTAAGACAATAATGCCGTCTTCGCAGAAAATATCAAGATCTTTAACACACATATATATGCCATTCAAACTGATCAATTAAAATAGTGGTTAAGATAGTCTGTTACTTCTTTATGCTATAGAAAATACGCTTGTGAAAGGTATTACAGCTTCGTTGCAGACGATGTTAACGTTTCTTCTCATTATGTTTTAGCTTGGTATTGTTGTTGCAATATTAAATTTTGTTGTAAACGGCTACAATATTGTTATAATGTTGTTGTTGTTTTTTTCCTATTGGGGTTATGTCTTGATCTTATTTTGTGTGAGTTATTGTTGTTTTGTACTCCTTCCCGCTATAAAAAGTGCACCTGTGAAGGGTATTATAGCTTCGATGCAGCCGAAGTGTACGTTTTTTCTTGGTTTTTTTTTCATTATGATTTCTTTAGTATTGTTGTTTTAGTATTTTATTTTAATGTTTTTTATTATTTTTTATTTTCTTGGTTTTGTTCTTTTTGTTCTTTTTATTTTGCTTTTATCCTGGCCTTTGCTTTGGTGCTTGTTATTACTATTTTTGCAAAATCTTCATTTCAATTATATCTTATCATTTTGCATATTTTACATACCATTTACCAATAAAATATCTGTATTGTTGTTGTATGCTCGTATCTCTCAGTTTTCTTAATTAATATTCTTGTTATCTGCATTTCCCTCCATTTACTCTATTTACAGGCGTACATTGCAATGCTCATCAACATTCTGATTCGTTTTACTCGCTTTTCTCGCGGCGTATAATTCCCTGATTTTTAAATTTTAAAAATAAATTTTCGCTCGAAAATTTGCCTTTTCTCTGAATTATAAATACAAGCAATCCATTAGCGTCCTAATTATATGCGGTTTGTTTTCACTATACTCGTGCGTGTGTGAATGTTTGTGTGAGCCGCTTACTTTGTTAGCCACTCACACTCGCTCGCGTCTTTCTTATAATTTTGTTATTGTTGTACTTAGCAGTTGCCACACGCTGTCTTCGCTGCATAAAAGTTTTTAATGCCCGGGCTCCCTTGCTAAGCGTGCTCCAGCCGCGCCAAGTGTAGCGCACAAAGCTGGCGAAGTTTGTATACACTTGTAGTAATGTGTTTATTGTAGTTCTTCTTTTTTGTGAGATTAATTATTTTCCTTTTACAGGTATTGTTTTATTTGATTTCGTTTTTGTTTTATTTTCTCTGCTTCAGGCACTCATCCGCTCCATTTGCTGGCATATATTAATCATGTGGCTGCCTTGTGTTGCTTTTGCTCCAACTTTCGATCGCTCATTCATTTCTTTGAAAGTGTGCGTGTATGTGTTCGCGAGTTTTGAGAATTATTGGCCCGAAGATGTAATTATTGACCCGCCGCGTCTTATTTGGCTTGACGTCATTGCTTTGCCGTCAACTGCTGGTTGTGTATACAAATTGTTGTTGTTGTGGTTATTGGTTTTGGTACTCATTGTTGTTTTTTATTACATTATATTCCGAGTCTGTTTTTCTTACTTTTTCCCATGCGAGCTTACGTAGTTATCACCGAAAATCATACTTCCCGCACTTTTTTCAAAATTTGTTTTTCAAATTAAATTTTTATTTTTTTTTTTTAATTTTTTAAATAAAATTTTTGCGCTTTAAAGTATCGACAATTTAGTGTATTGCTTCATTCTTGGTAAGTAATAAGCAGATTTTAGCGAAAATGATTTGTAGCAGGTGCCTTTATTGCTAGTTTTAAATGAGTACTACACTACGTATACGCAACTTGCCTTTTGAGATGGTTTAAACTTGTAATGTGCTGAGTGACGAGAGATTGGTAATTGACTGACCTTTGCTTTCCATGATTAATATTTTTAATGAAATTTAGACATTAAACAACAACGCCTGTTTATGGAGCAGACATTAAGCAAAGCAATTCTTTCTCAGAATGAAGACCTTTGTAGAAAACGGAAAAATAAAGGGGCACACGTAACATGAAATAAAAAAAATTGTGGAAATTTCGATAATCTATCTTTCTTATAAAAATAACCACAAACTAGATCTACACAACTGATTTTGGTAAAGTTTTCAAAATAAATTGTTTATGGAAGTCCATAGAGCGACCCAGTTGGGGGCAATAGATTGCGCCACATTTTATATATTATATATTAGCAAATAAAACATATTTAATATTTATTAAAAAGAGTGTTAGAATAAGTATGTACTGCAATTAGACGTTAAATAACCATATACAAAAATTATATAATATTATCCATTACAACTGGCTACTGATCATAGACTAATGCGTATCCAGCTCAATGTCAATTGCCAATAGTAGTTACGATTTAAAAAATTATTTATATAAAATTAGAAAAAA